CCCCCCCCCCCCCCCCCCCCACCCCCCCAACTCCCCCCTCCCAATGCTAATACTCTCTGTGTCTCTGGCAGTTCAGCCCAATGTATAGATCCCATCATTAATTATCAATGCAACCCTACCTCCCTTCTCTCTGCCTGTCCCGTCCTTCCGAACCATCAGATATTCAGTCCCCAGTCCCGATCACCATGCAAGCGTGTTTCCGTGATGGTGATTTGATCCTGTACACTCACCTCTGCTCTACCTGCTTGGGTGTCCCAGGCCGCTCTTGCCCCTCTCCCCTTTTTCCTGCCTGTACACTCTCAAAGTGTGACCCCCTCCCCCACCACCACCTCCCACCAACCGCGATGCACAGAGAGACTCCCAGCCGCAGCTCAAACCCTGAACCCCAGAGCTCCTAACCCATGAAGCTGGGGGACACTTCCCGTGGATGCGCTCGTCTGGGATTTAAGGAATAGGCCATTCAGCCCCTCGAGCCATGCAATGAGATCCTGGCTGAACCGTGGCCCAATTCCCTACACCAACCTTTGACCATATCCCATCGCTGAACAAAAATTTATCTCGCTCAGATTTAAAATTAGCGGCTGATCACACACAGGCCCTGCTGGTGTGTAAACGCAGTTAGTGGGGCCTTGGACCTTCTCTGGCCCCGAGCCTCACCCTCTCTTTATTGGCTGCCCAAGAAGGAGGCGTCCGCCCTGGGTGGGGCTAACCCCAATCTCCGTATTCCCCTCCCTCTCTCCCATCCCTTTTCAACGTGGAGAACGTTCCCTGAATAGGACAACAGAGGCAGGTATGGTCCAAAATAGCTCTTCCCTGGCACAGGCCCCTCAATGGCCTGGAGTTACTCATCTGCTAATCCTTTCAGTCCTATGCTACATCTCTCCCCAACACTGTTCCTGATGATTCCTTTATCCCATAGTTTCAAATAGGTAAAGTTTAGATTTAGAATTGGGTTTATTGTCACGTGTACTCAAGTACAAAATACAGTGAAAAGTTTATAACGTCACCACATAAAACACCATCTTAGGTACAAGTCATGGGTACGAACACAGATTAGGTACAACAAGTAGAGAAATACCAAAAAGTTCCAACTTACAGTTCTTCGTGGTATAAATTAGGAAGCTAACGAAAGGGGAGGCAATGGCCAAGTGGTATTATGGGTAGGCTGTTAACCCAGAGGCCTAGCTAATGTTCTAGGGACCCAGGTTCAAATCCTGTGATGGTGGAATTTGAATTCAATGAGAAATCTAATGCTGAGGAGGAACCCATCTGGTTCACTCATGCCCTTCAGGGACGCAAACTGCAGCCTGTAGTGAGATATGCCTCAAAGGAGCACTCGGTTCGTAGAGCAGCAACAACTTTCATTTGCATAGCGTCCTCAACGAAATAAAGCAGGATTGTTACAGTGTGACATTTGAGTGCACACTTGACCTCCAAATGCTTTAGGGAAGGAAACTGCCATCCTTACCTGGTCTGGTCTACACCTGACTCCGGACCCACAGCGATGTGGTTGGCTCTTGACTCTCGATGGTGAATAAATGCCGGCCCAGTCGGGTTCACCCTCATCCTGTGAATGAATACACAGCTAAGATACATGTATACGAACAATTTTCCAACTTGGAGTGTGAAATATTTGGGTCCCAGGAGGCTGGCAGATCTTTGACTCTTTGTTGAGCATGTCGTCTGGCATCGATGTTGCTGTTAAACGTTTGTACTCTGAGGGTGGTGAGGTCCTCAAATCATGTCAGAGAATGTATTGACGTCTCTGAAAGAAAAACCAAATCCTTTTCTTCAATGCTGCACTGTGGCACCCTCCCAGGAGACACTCGCTTCCCGACTCCAGGGCGTCAGGGGTGAATGCAATTTGATGGGATCAATTGCCCCCCCCCCGCCTCCGGGAATTCCATCAGCGCCAGATTCTTTTGCGTGAAAGCATGTTTCCTATCGAAGACAGAGATGGGGAGGAATTTCTTCTCTCAGAGGGGAGTGAATCTGTGGAATTCTTTACCACAGAGGGGCTGTCGAGGCTGGGTCGCTAAGTATATTCAAGGCTGAGATAAAAGTTATTTTTAATCAGGAAGGGAATCGAGGCAGGGAAGTGAGTTGAAGACTGTTAGATCAGCCAGGACCTCGGCGAATGGCAGAGCAGACTCGATGGGCGAAATGGCCTACTTCTGCCGATACGTTTAACGGACCTCATGCGTGAAGCATTTGGTTGGTGGGTACACACTCAAGTGTTGCGCTGTACGAATCGGCCGGTTTTGCTTGAGGGTGCCGTGCAAACGAAAGTTGTTGCTACCCTCTGAAACGAGGTGCTCCCTTTGACACATATCTCATTGCTGGCTCGCTGATGCGTGCCTTAATTTCTCTCCAAATCGCACACAAATTTTGAGTTTGTGGCCACTTCCTGACGCCTGTTATGCAAGTAAGAATCAGTCGACGCTTCTCTTGCTCTGTCCACATCCTTCAGCTGAGTGCTAAGTACCTCTTGTCAGAAACGAGTGCAGTCCTGTGGGTAGCAGGAGGCATACCACGAGTGTCTGACTTTCAGGGCTCATCACTTCTGGGACCAGGAATCAGATTCAACTCATCACAGTGAGTAGCTATTCAATCTTGACACAACATTTTCTGGGCAAACGAGTTTATTTGGCTTATGAGGGATTGACGATTGTCAGCACAATTATTCGCCAAAGGAATTAAATTCAGGAGAAGGAACTGCAAGGCAATAGGACCATTTAGAAATGCCACAGTTTCCTCGTGTTGTTCAACAACAGACAGTCACCTCACTAGAGGTCGGAACATAGGTTTGTCTGTCCTGACTTGAAAATAGTTTCGCTGGGTCATAGCCCTGGCATCCTCTCTCAAATGGCACTGTGGCTTCTTGCAAAGATCGTATGGGTTGCCCCAGTTCAGAAAGGCAGCTCACCACCACCTCCTACCAGGGGTAACTAGGGACGGGTAATAAATGCTGGGCCCAGGCAGCAGTGCACGCAGCCCATGAGTGGATTTTTTTTTTTTAAAAATCAATGTGCACGAAACACTCTGAGGTTATTTCTGGTTTTGGAAAACATCAAAGTTAGTTAGATTCAACCACACTTAAAGCATTGTGGACAGTGGTTGTTTTCATCTCATTAAAAGCATATTTAAAGAAACGAGGAATCTTTGCTCGAGGAATACCTCAACACGGAGAGATTTCAACCGTCAGAGGAAAGAAATACAAGCTCTTTGCGTTAGAACTGAGGTGGCTGAAAGGGGAACTTTGAGAGAGGTTCATAGGGACGGCGATATTTCAGTTGCATCACTTAAGTGTAAGATAGTTGCTATAAGAGCAGCAGGTATGTGCCTTGCACTGCAGGAAATCTGCAAGACACCTCCAGAAATACCTTCCAAACCCAGTCATCCTTTCCCCCTAGCAAGGAATGCCAGGCAATGACTCCCTCCCTGATCCCAGGAGGTAGGGGATGAATGCAATTTGATGGGATCAATCTAGCCACTGGCCCTTGACGTTCCATCACTGAATTCCAACCCCACCTCCTCCCCCACTATAGCATCCTTACATTGACCAGAAACTCAACTGAACTCACCACATAAATACAGCGGCTGCAAAAGCAGGTCAGAGGCTGGGAATCCTGTGGCGAGTAACTCCCCTCCTGACTCCCCAAAGCCTGTCCACCATCTACAAGGCACAAGTCAGGAGTGTGATGGAATACTCCCCACTTGCCCCTGGATGGGGGCAGCTCCAACAACACTCAAGAAGCTCAATACCATCCAGGACAAAGCAGCCCCCCCCTTGATTGGCACCACATCCACAACCATCCCACTCCCTCCACCCACCGACGCTCGGTCACAGCAGTGTGTACCATCTACAAGATGCACTGCAGCAACTCACCAAAGATCCTCAGAAAGCACCTTCCAAACCCACGACCCCTTCCATCTAGAAGGACAAGGGCAGCAGATACATGCTGCAAGTTCCCCTCCAAGCCCCTCACCATCCTGACTTGGAAATATATCGCCATTTCTTCACTGTCACTGGGTCAGAATCCCAGAATTCCCTCCCCAAGGGCATTGTGGGTCA